AGAGGTTATTGCTGTGATATCTCCAGCGCTGCTTTGGATTTTGGTTTTATGTTTGACTAAAACTACTAATCATTTGAATCCCATCACAATCCCTAAAATAGCGCTGAGTGTTAACAGCAAAGAGGATGAAAAGCTTAAGAAGAGGAAATGCTCAGAAATGCAGAGCTAATTCTGAAATGTAATCAAAAATCTGCCTTGCTAATCACTTTCTTTTTAGCCTAACAGAAGATTCACTAAATTATTGCAGCCATGTAACTAAGCTTCCTGCTTCCACCCCAATAATTAAATTCACACAAACAGACCTGAGTGATATCTGGGGCTACTGACAAAAATTAAAAAACACTCAGTTCAGCCATTTGAAATTAGGAGACTGCAGGATGGATAAGGACAGGTCTTGTTTCCCTGAAGTACTTAAATGTCCGTCATTATGCTGTTCTGAAAATACATCGAAGCAAAACCAAACTGTGCTTTGTACACTGTCCCTACCTTGCCCTTCATACTGCACTCTCCCAATTACTACTGAGATGGAGAACGGGGAAACGATGTGGTGTTTGTCCCAGAGTTTTGAAACTGCTAAGAATGCTGTGTCAGTTTCTCTAGTGTTGAGGACAATGAGTCAGCACTGAGGATATGGAATCAGACTCTCCATTCTAATGTTCTGCTCTCTCATAACTACTGATGTGAAGGCATTCTGAGTCTGACACACATTCAGGGTGAAAAACAGGAACCGAACCTGAGACTGTAGAATCAGTATTGTGTTTCAGTATCCATGGCTGCAGCTATTGATTGTTTGTATTGATAATTCTCTAAAAAGTATTTTTAAAGAGCACACTGTAGGGCTGGGCAATATTAGTTTTATTGGTGATGTGTCTGTCCTGAATTGGGTTCTTTATCTAACATAACCTGTAACCCCACATAGTAACGTACAGCACTACACAGAGCCCTATTTTTCAGTGTCAAATACAAATCATATACGATTCGATAACATCAAGTAAAATCACTGTTTGTATTCTAAATGAATGATTTACCAGAAAATGTTTTTATTCCCGCAATGCCAACTTGATAAATGGAAGTTTATGAGGCAATGTAACCTTAAAGGTTCAGTGTGTAAGATTTAGCTGGAAGGGATCTATTGGCAGAAATGTAGTATAATTATTAAGCTGTGACATGAAGCTTCACCACTAGATATCACTGAATTCTACACACTGAACCTTTAAAGATAGTTCACTGAAAAATGAAAATTCACTCATTATCTACTTACCACTATGCCGATGGAGGGGTGAGTGAAGTGTTTAAGTCCACAAAACACTTTTGTAGTATCAGGTGTTGTTTTTTTTTTACATTTGAAGACGTGGTCACCAGTTAGTCCAAATTTAAAACTTTAGAATGAGACATAGTCTCAGACAGCCTTATTTCCTCAGGCAAATTATTCCAGAACTTTGGGGCCCTGATGGCAAACAGTCTGCTCTCCATAGCTTTCAGTCTATCAGGAAGTGACAGCACACCCTTGCCCAAAAACCACAAGCTTTGTAGAGGTAGGTAGGGAATTAAAAGATCAGAGATACAGCCAGGGGCCAGGCCATGAAGAGATCAATACTAAAAAAAACCTGGAGCCGATACAAAAGCAATAAAACAGATGTGATGTGTCTTTGTTCTAGATAAAACCCTATAGCTGCTGAATTTTGTACAGACTGCAACCATTTCAGGGTTTTCTGAATAAGATTAAGATTCCTATTTTGGGTCCACACACAGCATGCAACATGCAAACATGGGGAAATTTGACCTCTGTATTTAACCCATCCGTGTGAACGGAGCACACACGGAACACACGGAATACAATCCACACAGTGACCACACACGGAACAGTGGGCAGCCATGAAGGCGCCCGGGGAGCAATTGGGGGGTTCGGTGCCCAGGAGATAAGACCAGAGATTTTACTGTTGTGATTCTGCTTGTGCCTGAGGACTTAAAGAACCTTTGTTGAAGCAGTTGTGGACTGTTTCATTTTGGTTTTTGATTCTGTTCAGATACCTTTTGCTACCTGCTGCGTCCAAAATCACTCACTAATCATTATATAGTCCACGACATAGTGAGTTCACCATTTTTTGGTGCCTTTCCAAATGTTTTTTTGACATTTTTTATTTCCTGTATACATAGTGCGCTCTTTGTTTCCTACAATGCATCATGGAAAGTAGTGGTCACATTATGTACCATCATGCATTGCACTTGCGACAGACATACTAGAGAAGCGAGGGCAGCAGGAACAGCCTGACCTGTCGCACAAATGGAAATATGAGCAGAGCATCACAGCACAAACTGTAGCAAACAAGTTTATTTTTATCATTCAACGTTTCTTACCTAAAGCTAATAATGCTAAGTGTAAAATAAACTTTATTTATTGTGGGATTTTCCACTGACTGACGTGCTAATCCTGCGACAATGATGTTATTTATGTCAGATACAACCCTTCATACACTTTCAATACCAAGAACTGCTTTTTGTCACAGAGGGGTCATGAAGGAGTTTTGATTTCAAATAGATATCGAATAAATTAGTAAAAAGTTAGTTGAATTTGCCTGTAAAAAGTGTGGCACCTCTGGGGATAAGTATGCTAGATGATGTATTGATGAGGTTATTAGCATGATCAGTGCATGAGATATATATATATATATATATATATGGAATCCAAGTGAGGGCACAGATACATGATTAAAACTGCCTTCTTAAAACTCTCCATGTAAACAATTTCAACTGTGTGCCCAGTGATGAACTGTGAATTTAAGATGGATTATATTCATGTGTGAGTCTCAGATGTTTAGTGCTCCTACAGCACTGAATTTTTTTCACATGAATAATAAAGTCAAATTTCACAGATATGTGAAAACAACAAACCTGTAATGGCAGCAGCACAAATAGATCTGCACGTTGGACTGAGATTGAGATAATTTAGATCTATTAGTCTACCAGCAATAAGATCTAATGTGGCAGTCAGCACAATACGGAGTCTGTCCAGTGTCGACTGATTGGACTGTAGCACTTTGGATGTGCTCCACTGCAGTTAGAGGGATATAAGAGACCAGCTCTCAGCCAAGCATCTGCACTGCTGCTAAATGGATATAAGAAGAGGATGTGATTGATTCTTGCTGGCCTCCCCATTTGCTTTTCTTCAATCCGCCTCATTAATATAATCACTGGGCAAAAGAAAAAAATCTGAAAAGCATTCACACCATCTATCAACCAAGTCAACCATGTCTAACCAGTCGTCTTCTCTATAAGTGATTAATGCTGGTATAATATGTCTCATGCTTCTAAAATGATGAATTGATTATTGAATGGATATGAAATTAGGTGGCTGTTTTCCAGTCATTTGTCAGTCACATACCATAACACGCCTCCATAATGATTCCTGGCATCTCACTATCATTTTTTCCACAGAGAAAAGCATCAGCTCTAATGGCTTGATACATTTACAGGGTCTAACATTGTAGGTACCAGATTAAAAGCAATTATCTAGTTGCTGCACGCTTTTTCAGTAAACACTTTTATGTCCTTTTTTTAGTTTAGCTCATTCTGCATGCAAATTGCTTGTTATCTTCCCATTAAGTATCCACTATAACAACATTGTGTGAACAGTAACACTTTGGGTTTTTTGCACAGGCATTGATAATGGTAATCAATATTAAGTGGGCTAAACAATGCTCAAAATAGTTTCTGGAAATGTGTCTATATGAGCATGGACTGTTGATTCTTATCACTAATTTCCCCAGGCTGAAACTTTTTCAATATGATACGATAACTTTTCAGTCATACAGGTGCCGTGTTTAGACACATGATGTGGATTATTTTGTACATAAACAGCAAACACAAGCAAAAAACAAACCCCCTTTTAAATTATTCTTTTTAAAAAGTCAGTGTTTATTGACAGGATGCAAATGACAGCCGACTGATGTTGTGAGCTCCCTGGTAACTTTATTAGCTACATTTGCCTAAACAAAATTATGTTAGCATTTGTGAATGTTGCGTGAGGAGCACTGCTACAACGGATAAACCTAATCCCTAATATTTCAGCAAATGAACATTATGATTGATCTGCATGACTTTCTTCTTTAAAATGCTCTGTGGTGCCATCTGCATGCTGGATTTGGATTGTCTATCATTGGTTTCTCATAATATGTACAAAAAGAAGAACAAAATCTTCAAAATCTCCGTGTGCCATTCCTTGCCTGTTTTTCTTGTGTCTCAACAAATTGCAGTGGACCCTCACTTACCATCAACATTCCACATGTTGTTGTTAGTGTTTATTTTGCCTACCTTCTTCTTCTTCTTCTTCTTCTTCTCTTTGAATTGAAGTCAGACTGGAAAACTTTATTATGCTGCCCAAATCAATCTTGCACCGTTCCCTTAACATCTCTACCAACGGTCATCACATTAGAGTTATTTTAATAATCATTGCTCCACTGTGATAGGTTTACAAAAATGGATGATGTCATTGTGTTTTTCCAATGGACCCCCAAATTTCTAAGAAGATTAGAAAATTGGTTTTGTCGTCATTTCGGTGAACCTGATTCATCAATCTGTTGGCTTAGCATCTTGTTTTGACAAAGCTATGATGAACCATAAATGTCAGTGCGCCTGTTGTTAGCTCTCAGATGACGGTCCTTCAAATGGAGAGGTTGACTTTCCCTTCACATTTTCAATTGATCTATTCTTTGTATCTCAGCTCTGAATTCTCTACATATAACATATTAAATGGGACATGAAAGTGTTTTGGGAACACGTAATGTTTACTCCAGCAGCAGCTCCGTAATTACATCTGAAGCTGATGCTACAGTTGACCCCCGGTCACCCTCATACACACTAATGAGCTCCATGGGGAGCAGTGACAGCCGTTGCAGAAACTACAACCACCAATCCCTCTGTTGTGTCTATTGAGAATCTGCATGCAGGAAGACGAGGCCTCTTGTCTCTCATTTATTTCCTTTTTTTTTCCTGTCTTGCAGTTGGAAAGACGTCTCTGATCACACGGTTCATGTATGACAGCTTTGACAACACATATCAGGTAAGTGCTACTGCAGGCACACAGCAAAGACTCAGTTTCTAATGACCATTATGTCACACTGTAGTGTACTGTATGTCTTTCATTTTTCATGCATAAAATAAGGAAATAAAAAGAAATAAATCAACAAATGCAAATAAGGCTCATAATAGTTAATGAGATAAATGCACAACAAATATATTGTGTGCTAGTGTGCGTACCTGTGTGTGTGAAACAAGGCAGTTAAAGGCAACATGGAGATTAAAACAGACACTTTGAACTGAACCACATCAGGAGTGGGCCCTAAGGCGATCCCTGTTTCTAAGCCTGTTCTCCAAAGCAGCCGAATCTCACTCGCCATCCTAAAAACAGAATATTGCTTATGCAGCTGCAACAGTGCTCTGTGCAAGCATCTGCAGACACACAAAAGACCCTTAAATAAAACCTGTGGCATTATGGCTTCATAAGCAAAAAGTTCTAAAGTAATAAAAAGGAATTTAAAATAAATCTTCCAAAGCTATTCTGCCCTCCTTCTCATATTGTGTAGAGTGTGTAAATGTGTGTCTTTCAGTTCACTCGGGCTCTGTATCCAGGGAGTGTATATGCACAGTGTTATGAGCCTGTGTAATTTGTGAAAGAATTTAAGCAGTGAAACACTGTAATCACATCAGCACATAACAAGACAGGAGGTGAAGAAAATCTATCTTTTACTTTGCTAAACTTCAGGTAAGAAATACAACTTAATTTGTTTAGTATTGTTGATTATTGTAATTATTTATCATTCAGTGATACTAATGCTGGTGTACTTAATACTAACCTAAATGCACATACTGTTTGAGGTCTCCTATTTCTAGCAGTTATGAATACACGTCAATTTTGCATCATATTCCGTGTATACACAAGACCTTAAATGACACAACCTCCCTCAAGATTACCTCAACATTAGCTGTGTCGTTATAATCACACTCCCTGATCACTACCAGTATCAAACATATACAACCAAATATTTGTTTAAAATAAGATAAGATTTTGCAATCAAGTTCACATGGATTTACTAGATTGCTAGTCACGATTAGCTAACGCAATCCCTGGGTTAAATGGGGCAATGTTAGTCAATCACTAGTCAACTATCTAGAAAAGCTTTAAATGAAATGGCTTAACAAAGTCTTTAACTGGATTTATAAACAGCTGATGCAACAATTGAAAAAAATATACATTTTAAAGCAAATATAACATCCAAGTGTTTGAATTGAATAATGCATCAACATTCATGTTTGCATTTATTAACCCTAGGGTTAAGACCTTCTGTGTGTGTGTGTGTGTGTGTGTGTGTGTGTGTGTGTGTGTGTGTGTGTGTGATAAGTGTATTTTTCAGTTAGTCCAACTTCTACAGAGTCTTGAGCACCACATGGAGAACAGAGAGGGGGATGGACATTGTTAGAAAATATTATTCAGCTTGTATTCAGTTAGTTCGTATTATTTTATTCGTGTTTCTACAAAGAACTATTTTCTTTGGCCTCACTACATCCTGCTAACACGTCTCCTTTGTTCAGTGTTCACACTGTAAGTACTCTGCTGTGTTGTAATGAGATTTGGATGGAACATTGTGTGTGGATTACATTTTCTGTGTTACCGCTGTGATGCAGTGCTTCACAGTTGCTGCTCCTTCGTCTTATGTCCCTATATTCATAAGTCATGTAAAACTACAGAGCCACACATCTCAGATTGACTGTAAGGACTTATGTCTTTTGTTTTACTTGAATCTCCATGATGCAAACTTTTTTTTCCACTGTTGGAAAAAAATGTTTATTTCTAAATGTCACCCTCACAAGTTGCTGTTGAATAGGTTGATATTTGGGCACAGTTGACAGTTGAGTTATAAGAACTGCTCCCTCAACATCTTAACCTATCAGAATCTAAATGTGGATAGTGGATATGGAAATTCATGGACCCTCGTTTACTAAATGTTGGGGAGCTAATAGAGTGAAGAGTTTTTTCAAGTTCCATTAAACAATTTCTGGACACAAATTGTCCCTCAATACTGTTGTTTTGAAATGGGAAATTGTTTTAAATTCATCACTCTATTTCAGAGGTTTTTCCCATGCAAAGTTACAACTTACATGGAGGGATGCAGAGTGTCGAGGCATGATGCCAAGGTTATTGTAGTTTTGGAAATACCTAAATCTGGAAATTTTCATAGAAAATCATATACTCTTTCTGTGGGCTCTGTTACCATAATTCAGGTTCAATTAAACCCCTTCCTTCCGTCCTTAGAATATCATTATTGAAAATATCCATTGTTGATAAATGGTCATAAATCATTGGATTTATTCAACACTTTTTAAAACGATGCACCTCTATACAGGCATGTGTGTACATTGTAAACAGGTACTTTTATCTGATGGGGGCCCACAGTGTCATCCAAACCACTGCTATATTTTAGTCTGGTATTATCCAATATATATTATGACTGTTGCGATATTTCTACATCTATAAATGAGACTTAATGTGACATGATCATTTCCTGCATCATTTTCAGAGATTGCACATTAGTAGCTACCATTAGCTGGAGTGAACGTGGCTTACTGCTGTCGCCTGTCTATCTCGTGTGTCTCGCTCCAAGGCCACAGCTCTCACTCCCAATCTGAATACAGTTGGATAAATTACAGCTGTGAAATCTAACAGCCATCACAGACAGCACTAAGTGCAGCCATTCTGTGGAGCATGTGGGGAACATTGTTTTCCAGACAAATGACCGTCTGCATTGGCCTCATAGTGATGAGGCTCTCCTCGTCCTCACTTTATTCAGCCCTGTCCGCTCATTATAAGTGGGCAGGTAGCATTCTTGGCAGACAGATGCCAGACAGTTCTGCTTATTGAATATCTCCCCATATGCTGTTTAATGTCAGTCACTGCTTCACACTATTGTAATGGCCTGTACCTCAAATGGTTACAGCAGCGTGGGAGTAAAATGAAAATCAGATGGTTATTTTGTTTGTGTGTATAACAAAATAATTTAATGCCTCAATTTAACTCTGAGTCCACAATACAGCCTCTTCACCTTGTTATCTTTAGTGCATCATGATTTTATGTGCCATATCCTCTGCTTTCTTGCCAGAGCTCAGTCTCTCCTATGTGTGTGTTTGTGTGTTTTCATGCTGTGCCTATCTTCCCTTCGTCTTTTCAGTGACAGGCAGGGCTGCAAATGACGTTGCAGTCTTTTTCTAGCTCAACTCCTGAGACCTTTGAGAATTAATTAAAATGCTGTGTGCATTAGCTCAGTCTGAGTGGTAATGCTCCTGCTCAGAGGGGAGGCTGGATTTGCCCAGCGAGGGTAGAAGGATGTTATGAATGTGAGTCTGCATGGAAAATGCAACTTTGAGAAGATTTATGAAGTCGTTCAGGCTTACGTATCATATGGTTCTGTTTTCATCCAAGTCCAGCTTTCAGATCTGAGCAGTTCACTGCTGCGAAGGAAGACTAGCAGTGTATTTAGTAGCAGAGGTTCATCAGAAAGATGAAACGGAGCATGGTGGTGGCTTTAGTCAGCAGGACGATGTGAGTGGGGCGAGCCCGATTTGCTGCCACTAAAGCAGCAGACTCCCATCAAGCAGCCACCCAGCCGAAGGAGACGCAGGCAGGCGGCCTCTCTGCCTGGCAGCACATGCTAAAGGGATCAGAGGCCTCCAGAGGCTGAGTGCTTCTGTCAGCTGTGGTGGAGCTGTCAGTCAGGCCTGGCCAACAGGCTGTGACTGCATCTGTCTGCTCTGCCCAAAGACTCAGATATTTAGTTTAGCTACTGGTGAATCTGATTGACCAAATATATGAAATTTCACACTCTGTGACAATTTGAAGCAGAGGATAACCCATTAAATGTGTAAAATGATGCTTGTGGAGCCATTTATTTCAGCCTAAGTTTTTATTGTACTACATTTAAGAATTTGCTAATTATTTTACACACAATTTGTCTGATATTTATAACCATATTTCAGCAAACAGGATAGAGCTAAAATTATTACTCTTCTGGAAAATGAATCAACTATTTTGATAATGAATAAACTGTTAGTGTTTTTTTTCCAGCACAAATACCACTCACTGGCTGTTTGCCTCTTTTTGTCCTTTTTAATTTGTTTCTTTAAGAGACAAAATAATTTATCAGAAATATTTTGTTTCAGTGACCCAATCTGCACCAGCTTTGGAAAATTAGTTTAATCTTAAATTAATGTTGTAATTACGGTAAATAAATCTACCCATACTGCTTTGTGACACGAATAATGTGAGTTAAATAGACTAATTATGAATGCATGGACACTCCCCATTACATTGGTTACAAATCCAGCGTTCTATAACTGCCGGCTGTCTGAAGGAGGAGCCGTGATCATACTCTGATCTATTTCCCCGTGCGCTGGTGGTTGACTTCAAATTAATCAGATTTGGTGTGTTCACAAACTGTGAGCAAACGCCAGTATGCTCGCTGTGCCTCAAGGTCTGTTGGTTTAACGGTGTCCCTGCCAGATGGAGGACCTTGAAAGTCCTGGTGGGAGAAATATTCATGCTCACTGCTTACATGAAAGCTGAAATACCCCAATGTAAATATTGTCAAAAACATTAAAAGATAAAGGCATGTGTTCTTTATTTAAGTTACATTTGATATCAAGATAAGCATTTTGTGTGTGCAAACCATGAATTATCCTGTGTGTCATGACCTCTTCGGATTTCTATTTCTGAAGTAGGAAATCTCGTGGGGTTGCTGACTTGAGCCCAGTGGTTCGAAGAAGTGTAAACACTGAACTCACACGTAATCAAAAGGGCAAAGGAGCTGATCATCTGGTCCAATGTGATTGAAGGGCTACTGTTGCAAAAGTTGCAAAAATTGTAATGATGGTTATGGAAGCAATGTGTTACAACAGTATTGTGCACAGCTAGCAGATTAAAGATTGGGAGCTGTTAGCCTTAAAAGGTGGGCTTCGTTTTTCAGACACTTTTTCCTCAAAGATTTCTCTTTGAACTACACTAGCTCGATAGTAACTCATAGTTTGTTCTGGACTAATGCATCTGTCAATGGATCAAGAAGTTGCTAGTGGTGCCGAGTCCCACTGTTATCATCAGTTGTCAGTGGAGTAGCTCTAAAAACCCACTGTCTGCTACCTGCCCAATGATGGCTGACTGACAGTTAGTGACAGTTTGATCATTTCTAAATTGCTTGGTTAATATTGTTTGTCAATCATGGGGTTATATTAAAATATATTTTTACACTCTAAAGGTTAATTAACATGATATGTTTGTTAAAAGTAACTGGGCCATCTGTGAATCCCAGTAATAATGTTTCTTCTCACCAGCAGCCTCCCAAATACTGTCTGTCATTATCTTACTTTGTTTTTGGCATCATTGTATTTATTTATACATACTGTAGATTGTAACTGGTAAATCTATGTGTTCCTACATGAATGAACTGAGACAAACAACCATTTTTAATCTAGTAGAAATGTAAAATCAGCTAAAAACCCTCAAATATGTTTAAAAGCGTTCTTTGCCCTTGTCACTGGAAGAATGAGAGTCACAGTCTGTCCTTTGACGATGTGTGCTGGTTAAAAATTGAAAAGAAACATTAATAATTTCTGGTGATCTAATTTGTTCATGTATAGCTGTCGGTGTAGGATTCTATATTTAAAACTGTGGTGAGAGAGAAAGAGAGCAAGAGCCCACAGCACGTCCGCCCTGAGAAAGTCTCCTGCAACATCTCTATGCTTTTAACCTCTTTCATGATTTTATATCAATAATCCAATTGTAAATCATCTAGTTTTAATGTTTTCTCAGCTGACACACATTTCTTTAATTTTACCTTTATTCTACAGGCTGTTGTTGTGTGTCAGTTTAGTGCTGTCAATCTTAAGCACACAGTGATTTTCTTGATCCAGTAAAGTCAGCCAAGTTAAATACTTTTACAGCAAATTCAGCCAGAATAAATTCTCACTTTATCTACCTGTCCATTTTCAGGCTGATTCAAGTGCAAAGTATATTTTTATTTCTAATGCTATAATATCATGTGCAGCACTATAATGTGTTTATGTGAGCATGTATTTCAGCTCATCTGTGCTTGATCTGACTGAGTGGAAGGGAAGAGTATAAATGACATCCTGTCTCCATGCCGGTGACCACTGTGGTAGCTGTCATCACCAAGGAAACGAGTGCGTGATCAAGTTGCTGATACCCAGCTCTGTGGGCAGCAGACACCCTGCTGGACTGCTTAATATAGACAAAAACAACACGTACACCATTTTGCAAAAGAAAAAACAGGTGCAAACATATAAAATCTGTCTCGGTACAAGTCATTTTCTGAAAGGTTTCAGAATAAGTGGCAGTGGGAGGCCTGTAGTCTACAGACAGGTCATTACCTGTCCACCTGGCACACCTATCATTGTGGGATCCAGCTGGGGAGCGCTGGAGTCTGCAAGCAGGGGTCACATAGGTGTAACTGTACAGCTGGGTAGTGAAGCACAGTCCCAGGTCACTCCCACACAAGCTGCGTCATACTCTTTACACACACACACACACACACACACACACA